ATACCAATATAGCAGACCGGAACGGAGTTTCACAGCGTCGCTACGCATCCTCTCACCGGCAAGCTACTTCGCACAACTTCGGCGGAAACACCGTTTCACGCTACACACATCCTCGCACTACATACAACTGCCTCCGTGGCCGAATGGTTACCATGCCGGACTGCCACGCAGAGGTCCCAGGTTCGATTCCCGGGCCGGGAGAAATATTTATATGACCTACATTTATTTCTCTCGTGAGTTTGGGTGTAATTTGTGGTTGTATATGTGTGTGTGCATGGCACCCGCGACACAGGGTTTCCCTAGTGCGGGGCTATGTTGAGTGTGTGCGTTATTATTATTATTATTATTATTGCATAGCTACCTTTTTGTTCCGGAGGAAAATCCGACATGGACACCATCGCGTCACGGGGAGGCTCGGTAGTTATATAAGACTCTTTACTCACTAAAAATATGCTCCCTGTGACAGTGTCATTTCTGGGATTCGGTACTGGGGGTCGATTCAGAACTCTTCGATATTTTAACCGAATCATTCGATTGGCTATCGTTCTCGAATCGAAGGGCGTTTTCCGGGCTATTCAGAACATTCGACTTAAACGTACGATTCGGATACGATATCGTAATCCAACAGCGTTTACGACGTTAGTCGATGAAATAAATTATAAGAAAAACGAAAATCCTTTATTATATACATTTTTAAGACTTCAATTGCCTAAAATATAGAAATACGTTAGTCTTGTATTAATAAAATTGAATAAAATCCAGACTTTATTTAAAACAATAAAAGATATCCATTTACTTTACTTACATTCTTGCTTTGTAAACAGTAGGACGTTCGATAACTTTCATTCGATAACCGTGTTCTGAATAACGTTATAGCCTTTGCCGGTCGAGGAATACGAGTAATCGTACGGGTGTGACGTCATTTCGGCTCGGTTTCGATTCGATACCTAATCGAATCGGTCGACAACAGAGTTATCGTAAGGCTCTGAATCAACCTGCTGGTACGGATCGGACGTAGTGTGTAAACGCTCTAATGATTTGGTCTCGTTACCGCCTCTCAAACAAAAGTCGTGGTCTCGTATCCGGTCTCGCACCTCTGAGGTTCTCGTAATTTGTGGGCGAAATTTAATTTATAATTTGAAATTTACCATGAGCTTTTCGATGAAGGAAAACATTGTGATGAAATCTGCACGTCAAAGTTCACAATCCTCGGAAGACGTGTGAAGTCCCCAAACCGGCATCGGGCCAGCGTGGTGGACTATGGCCTAAACTTTCGCCTGAGAGGAGACACGTGTCCAGCAGTGGAACGTATAAATGAGTTGGCGATGGGGATGACGATAGATAAGATATTCAGGATCCGCTTGTTACTCTGGCATGAATACAAGGCATTCAGATGGTAAATCCAAACATCTATGGCTGTATGTCCAAATTCCGTCATTATCTTCACTAATATAGCGTGCTTGGGAATATTGAAATTACGATGTATGCGCGTGAAATACAACAACGGGTTCGGCTACTGGGTTCTGCCACGCCTCGGATATGTTGGCGGAAACGCAGACGCAGACGGGTTTACATACATCATACGTATCCTAGGACTCTCCGATATTCTCCAATTGCTCTCCTTATCATAACACCAAATCGAAATTTTTAGCGAAACTGAGTTAGTAACACATGTCTGAAATCAGTGAAACGAGGTGTGCGACCCCCTCTGTAAGTGTATTTTTTTAAATATGTATTTATTAAAGATTTAGTTGTAGTTTTATTGTTAAATAAAATTTGTGTAATTGACATTTTACAAAGAAAAAAACTTTAGGTGCCAATATCTCAAAAGTAACCAAAACCAAACCAAAAACCAAATGCGTTAGTGGTAACAATGAGATTGGAAAAACAAGGGTCTCATTTGTTTTTGTGTTGCTGTCTATTTGTATTCTGTAAGTAATAAAACCTTAGAGCGGTAACACACGGTGACTCTTAGCAGCGATGCAAACGCGCTGCAAAAGCGATGCAAAAGCGGTGCAATCGCCTATAAATCGCAAGGGTAGCAATGCAATCGCGCGTTTCATAAACGTGCGTTTGCACAGTCTACATGTATACCCACTCTTAGACTTAATGCGAGGTATTTCAACGCGAGGCTTTATTTTAGGAGGTGAGGGGTGGGGGATCGTTCCTGGCGTCCCATAATCCGCGCGCTGTAAATTCAAAAATTGACACAGATCCGACGTCGACGTGGTACTTTAAGAGAAAATCTCCATATAAATATTATGGACAACGCTAGATATTGTACTTTTATTTTAGCCTGTTTTCAGGATTTCATACGTCTGATAAAGTACATCCGATCGTGTATCACATTAGCACATTCTTTAGACAATAACCTTAGGTATGTCGTGTATGTTTTATAATATCGTTATTTACTAGTAAATATCTAAACCGTTTGATCTAGCAAAACAGTTGCATACTCGCCTTAACCATTTTGTAATTTACTACTATGGACCTATTGTAAAATAAATGATATTGTAACCCAGAAATTTATGCTTCAGGCAGGAGGACAACAGTTCTTTACGCACGAAGGTGTCACGTTAAGAAGTCATCACGCTGTGATAATATTTGCTTTGTGACCTGGGATTAAGTCCGCAGAGCTAATGGTAAGCCAGTAACGTGTGACATAGAACAGCAATTACTTTTATTAACAATTTGATCTTTTATCACACTCAGATCAAGAAATCGATAAAAAAAAATTTAATGTCAGATCTCGGGAATTGAGTGATTATTAACTGTCAAAATAATACGTTATACTTCTAAATAATCAAATTCAAATTAACCACCGCCATTTTACATCTTACACACAATCCCCCAAAGACAAAAACAAAAAACTAGAACATAAAGTAAATCTCACTTTCTTAAAAACTTCGGAACGTAGCCTTTTGAGAAACTAAATCATATTTCCAACATTAACCCCTAATTTGTCTCTATCGAAAGATCCCAGAGGTGTGTAGAAATTCTTACATTCATTATTTCTTCGTAAAACGTTATGTAGGTATGCTATGGCATTTACTAATAATGTAGCATTTTCTGGTTTCAATAACATGGGTTTCTTAACACTCAGAAAACTGAATAAACAATGACTAACACATTTTCGACAACCCTGTGCGCTTTACAAAGTCTATAATTATAAACTTTGTTCCTGTATGATGACATCCTGAATATACTTTCATTAGATTATTTGATAGCGCAAAAGCTTCGTCACTGGCTAAATAATGAGGAATTTCTTTAATCCGCATCGACAATCCTCTTGGCTATGGTAAATTTAAATATTTATTTAGCATTTATTATTAACTAAATTCATCGAGTAATGAAAGTTTGGTAGGATAATACAATCTGAGCGACACGTGTGTTTCCTGCAGTCTGACTTTAACAGTGTGTCTAAATGGTGTGTCGATAATAAGTCGTGCTTCAATATTAAAGTGTTTATGTATAAGGTTTTCTAGGAGACTAAGGGATGTTTCTTCACTGTATACTATATCTGAAAAGCTATTCAATGAGGTTGACAATGTTCGTGATCTGGGACTCTACTTCGACCGCAAGCATGCATTTAGGGAGCATATGGATGTAGTTGTTAGGAAGGCCTCACAATTGTTAGGTTTAGTGTTGAGAAATGGTAAGGGGTTTCGCAGGTGCTCTTCAAAAATATTGCTATGTTACGCTCTGGTTCGTAGCCTCCTGGATTAATACAAGGTCGTGTGGAGGCCACATTTTGCTACATACTCACTGCGTATTGAGAGGGTGCAAAAATGTTGTTATGGGAGGGGGAGGCGGTATTCGTGTGCCGTTCGACTTAGTAGATTAAACATGGTATCTCTGACCACGCAATGAGACATTCGTGATCTTATCTTCTTGTATAAATTGATAATTCATCCTCATTAATTGTCTCCAATTATTGAGGATGATTTCACTTAGGGTACTGTAGACTTGGACGTAGCTCGTGTTGCGTAGCGAGAGGTACTTTTATAAATATAAACTAGGATAATCTTCAAAACTTGGTTTATTGTACTTTTTTTTACATATTTTCTTACTGAGGTGACATCTCGAACACTCAAGACGTTCTATTCTTTCAAAACTCCTATTTCAAAACACATTCTAAATATAAAACTATATTCACTCAGCCAGTAATTCTACTCATAGAGTAGAGCCTAGACTACAGTACCCTCCACTCACCTAGACGTAATACAGTATTGGGGCGTAACTCCCCTACTAGACTATGCAGACTGTACAACGACTGCAATGAGTTTGTGGATATATTTGGTGCATCACTAACCCGTTACTAAGCAGCTGTGCGAAACTTATTGTACGTGAGCCGTAACGGTGGCAACTTTATGCCTTATTTGTACAGTAGAATTGTAGTTGCTCACGTAATTTTTATTTACGTTAGTTAACATTTTGCTTTCTTTTTATTTGTAAAGCTCTTCATATGCTTAAAGACAAAAAAGTTATTTCAAATTTTAAGACACACTTCCCTCAAAATGTCGATCTTAGATGCCATCACGCTACATGACTTCAGACAAAACTGCCATTCAGCTAGTGCCAAGTATACTATTTATAATGTATATATATAAGAAGAGGTCCTTTTCTACAGACAATGAGATCGCTTCTACAGACATGCTTATCTTTGTATATGTCCTCTGTAACGTGTGTTTTTCTTTGTACTCTAAAGAATTTATGATATCGCACTGTTAATGCAATAGTGTACTAACTGAAAAACTATATTTTTCAGAATCAATGAAAAACGAATTAATTCCTTTCGTGAACGATTATTGAAATTTATGTAGAGGTTAAAGTTTATTACAGACATCTAAACAATTTCCTACTTACCAAAGATATAGGTATTTAAAAATAAAAGAGAAAAATAATTTCATATTTTTTTGAGTAAATTCTTACTCAAAAAATATGTTATTATATTATATATATATATATATATATATTGCTTTTTTATTTGTTTTGTTCAGAACTAGCTCACAAAAAGATTGTCTCATTCTAAGTTAAGTAGTACATATTTTTTAAATGTTTCTTAAAATATTTTACCGAAGTGTAGAGAATCAAGTTTTACGTTCAGAAATTATATAATCTTGAATTTCACATATTTTGAGTTACAATTGTAATAGCATTTCTATTGCGTACGTGACTTTTGACAGTTCCCAAAAATATTAATTTACGAATTAAGCCACTTTGTTATTGAGGATACTCAATACTCAATGCTCAATATTTTATTGCAAAACCATAATATAAGACAATACAACAAAGACCAATATTATGGACCCCTTCGGGCACGCAATATAATGGAAAGGAGAGAGGAGCAAACCAGTAGATAGAAATATACATGTTTTAATATGAAATTTAAATGCAAACAAAACATCAAATATATGTGTATGTAATAATAATTGTTATTTAATTTACTATATATTCTATCATTTTACTTTAAGATGCCGTATTTTGGATTTTAATTTAGGATGCCGTATTATATTTATATATATTTCTCAACTTCTCTTTTTTTCTGTGGTAACAGAACTTCTATTACATATTAGCTTCTTGACAATAATATGAAGAGTAAATAATAACGCCATGATGCAAACAAGTAAATCAAGATACATCTTCTGGTACCAAGGCACGTCCAGCGCAGGCGAGCGCAGGTGAGGCGCGCCGCGAGTTTTCACCACATGCTCCACCCAGTGCACCAACTCCTTGCTCGGTGGTACTGGCCGATCGTGATATACAAAAGATAGCTCTTTTACTCTTTCCCTGTATCTGAAAATATTTTTTCTAGTAATTAAGCACGGCCTCGCAAAATTTACAAATTACCATTGTTTAACGTCGTTAAAAATAAAACCTGAGTGATCCACCGGTCGAATATATTTACCTAAACTTTTAGTAATGCATATAGAGTTGATGATACTCCCCTCTGAAATACCGGAATAATGAGTAATAAAAGGTAAAGCATCAAATCAAAACAGATATATTTTTAGTTATAATTACAAAAGTTTTTTACTAAATACACTGTCGTAGTAAAGTGATTCCTAGTTACACGTAATATACAACAAAATACAATAACTACGGAATTTGAGAGGGAGGTATTATCAACTCTATTTGTTACTTCTATGAAATTTAGTTAAACATACTCTATTCTGCTCTCTGGTGTACTCCGTCGACCATTGGTACGCTTCTAACTATTAAACTTTATTTTGTTTATGTATCAAGACCTGAATTTCGAATGCCATCTTACACAACAAAACGAGATTGTTTGTGTCATAGTACAAAAAAAAAAAAAAAAAAGGGCGCTCCCTCACCGCGAACATTCGCCTGTAATGTAACATTCAAGATTCGTTTTTGAGCGTTACATTACAAACTACCTCATTCACCGACAAGCATTCGCCTGCAATGTAATAATATCCAAGTTTCGATTAGGTTCCGATTCCATCAGAGAAGTGCGAGGTAGTAAGGCGTGCGTGCGAGTGCCTCCGAGTGTGTGCGAATGCCTTTGAGAGCCCGCAAGAGACCGCGAGTGCCCGCGAGACAAGGGCATTAAAAGACTCAAAGGCACTCAAGACGCTCAAAGGCACTAAAAGTTTCTCAAAGGCACTCAAGGACACTCAACCGCAGTCAAACACTCAAAGGCGCTCAAGGGCATTTAGAGGCACTCAACTGCACTCAAAGGCACACAAGACACTCAAAGGTACCCAAAACACTCAAACGCACTCAAAAGCACTCAAAGGCAGTAAAAGGTACTCAACGGAACTCAAAGGCACTCAAGGACACTCAACCGCAGTCAAACGCACTCAAAGGCGCTCAAAGGCACTCGCAGGCACCTAGGCAAAGACTCGCAAACATTTCCACTACATCTGGTGGAATCGCAGCTTAATTCAAAAGTGAGCATTAGCTCATTACATTACATTACAAGAGCATGTTCAGGGTGAAGGAGCTTTAGACGCCTTCTGTATTGTGATTCTCTTACCTAGGATTCCCGAGAATGTCGTTAATGGCTGCCTTTAAATTGGCAGGGGTTTCAAGATCGAGGTCAACCCTTTTCGCAAACCCTTTGTGCACGGCTGTGTCCACGTTATTGAACTGGTCAGCAAACATCGGCATGCCAATTACTGGTATGCCCCAGTATATGGTCTCCGTTGTAGATAATAGTCCACCGTGTGTTATAAAGAGGACACAGTTAGGGTGAGCTGCAATAAACGCATGGTCTTTAGTAGCAGTCGAGCTCCTTGTGAAAGATTTCAGGGCTTTAAAGAGTAAGGGTGCTGGTGAAATTACAGGCACATGGCACTTGTTAACTTATGTCTTGGGTTGACGGGTGCAGTGGCAGTACCCATAAGATCTTTGCAATTCAAAGCTCTGAGTGGCTCTTCAAATGGACAGGCGTGTCGCTTACCACCAGGCGCACGACATGTTCGTCCCGTCTCTTGGTATTACAGTTACATCTTCAATTCAAATTTAAATGGGACCAATACTGAGGTACCGTCTTTGTTTATTGTTATTATTATTATTCTTGCTCGCTGTGTATTTTTCTGTCGTAGCGTTGTAATAAATGGTTTCTATTGTATTGTGTCCTACATGAAAAAGTTTTTTAAGTAAAATATACATTGTATACAATTACTAAATGAAATGCCACTAAGTAACCATATCTAGTTGTCGTCGCATGTAAAACTTACCTAATATACTCTGCTGCGGAGCCCAACGTACTATGTGTACGTTTTGAGGTCGATTTGGTAATTGCTCTTCGAATTTCCAAATAACAGTCTGCTTTAATTCCCTGAATACGTCCAGTACCCCCGCCTTTATCGATTGCGGTAATTTCGAACTTTGCAGCATTGTACCCAAGCTAAAGTAGATCACTCCATGTTTAGCGTTATCCATAATTTTTTGCAAATCCTGTAGTGACAAAGTAGTGCTTTTTATTATGAATTTAATTAAAAATATTTATTAATAGTCGGTACCACCCTAGCTCGAATTTAAAATTTTCCCGTACTAATACAGTTAATTTTGCTAAAAAAGTCATTGGTGCCTACTAAATACTATAATATATATTTATAGGAATCATGTTTTACCGTATATTCTCAACTTTACTATATAATTTTTCTAAAGTTATTGATTCAACAATTTCACTGTTTTGCTGAATCAACAAAAGCGATGTGAGGTAGTACAGACTCTTAAGGCTAATTACCTCCGGTAGAGGGGCGATGTTGCTGTCAATATGGTACCCTGCGATCGGAATGTAATTTTGAGGTAACCTAATAGCCTGGCCTAGAGATACATGGGAATTTCCTAACATTAGGGAAGCATTGTATTTAGCTTCACTGAATGGAAGCAAAACTCTGCCTCTCTTAAGGGCCGCTGATCTGAACCCACTTTCATATATTTCAGTCTCCACACCGGTTACCCACCTGTAACAACAAAAGCTTGATTCAGTAACGTTACAGTGTATTGTTTATACTTATTTATCGCATATCGAATTACGACATGCGATATACTTTTAGAAAACACTTTAAAATGGATGTTTTTCGCAGACAAAAACTTGGTATTCCGAAGCGCTTTGAGTTTATGGTATTGCTACTTTCCAACAGCAATTTACTTTTCTAATTACTAATAATCTAACACTAATTAAATTATTCTATTATTATTACTATGTGGACATAAACTAACAGTACTAATCATAAAATTAAATATGATTCTATACACTTAATTCTTTTGTTATACCTTTTTACGCAGTCACTGCCGCGCCGTGATTTCACCGCTGTTTTAGGGCGTAGCAGAATATTAGTATGTTGCTTTAATTGGGCAGCAATTACGCTGACCTACGGCCATTTAATCACCACAGCGCACACATGCAATGCGTTGCGAACCTTTTATGGTAACGCCTTGCATATTTTTGTGTTTATCCTTTTTGTTACTTAATTTAATTTTTTTATTTTCGTTTGTGTTATTTTTTTATGTTTGCTTGTGTTACAGGCAAAAATATAAATAGATAATAATTTCTCGTTTTCACGTTTGAATTTTATTTGTGCAGGGTTATTTTTGTTTGTTTGTACTATGGTTTTTATTTTATTTTAAAAAGATTTGCATGTGTGTGTTTTGTAAATAAAAAAAACCATTTATTTATCTATCTATCTAATTATTTTTATCAGTAGGGAACTGCTTGCTTACTGTGATATATCCTGTAAAATAAATGAGATAAGATATATGTATGGGATGATAAAGCTAATACGGAAACTTGTAACACGACACCCGCCAATAACACTTTAATTTTAAATAATTTACTTTATGAATATCCATGCAGGTACACAAAGAACAAGCAGTAAGTAATACAAAAAACTACAATTATTTTTCCTCCAAATACTAGAAGTTCATCGCTGACCGTTTAAATGTAAAGAATCCAATGTTTGTGTGAGTCTCGTGATGTAGCGTGAGTAAACAAATAAAAGTAAAGATAAGTTATGCAAGAGTAAGGTATGCAAGAAGACGTCGGTTCGAATCCGACCGGATCGAAGGAATTTTTTTTGAGTGTTCGATCTTTGTATTAATAATTATAACAAACTAGTGGAGTAATTTGCCAAAAAATAATTGAATATCAATCAATAAAAATTTAAGTAATACAGTGAATAGCGACATCTCTCGCCAGGACTGGTAGCTGTAAAGGTACTAACTGGGTGATAAATCTGTCATAGATTTGTCATAGATGGCGCTACGACTAAAAAGTCGTTGAAAAACCAAATACAAAGACACGACTCAAGCACATAGAAAAATTCGTGAGGTCCGTTGGTTCGTTCCGTGGCTTAGTTGGTATAGCCTCTGCCACGGTACGCAAGAAGACGTCGGTTCGAATCCGACCGGATCGAAGGAACATTTTCTGAGTGTTCGATCTTTGTATTAATAATTAAAGATAGGTTTTTTTTATAATTCCAAGTGATGGTACGTACAAGTCGTGCGCCTGGTGGTAATCCACACGCCTCTCCATAACGGTTGTAGTACCACTCAAAGCTTTTAATAGCAAAGATCTTAGCGACACTACCACTGCGACTGTCACCCTGAGACATAAGTTAACAAGTCCCATGTGCTTGTAGAATCACCAGCACCATTCTAAACCGAACCGCAGTAATGCTCACATTATTGTTTGGCGGCTGAAGTGTGTAATGTGGCAGTACTTCCCTGGACGAACACTTTCGTTAGGAGCTGTACTGCTTCTCAAAGTATGTGCTTTTTGTGTGAGAAAGAAAGAAATATATAACTCATTAAGGAACACAGTTTTCTTGGCTACATATTTTCTGTGTTAACAATACCTTGCTCTAGACTCTAAAGAATTTATCAAGGAATGGAAGTCTATTTCGATACCTCCAATTAACACTACGTCAACTTTATTTTTTAGTCATTTTCTGTTATTTTTGTAAATGGCCATATTTATTTACTAATATTATGTCCCCCGAATTTTGTGGAAAAAAAACGAAAAACAAAATAAATAAAGAACAGGTCCAAAAATTAAATTGGCGTAGTGTTCATAGGAGGTATCGATTTGCGATTGCGATTAATCACGATTTATCTTTATTTACATTTGCTTGAACTAAGGAGAACGTAATCGCTTAAAGCAGAGAAAATTACTAATACGTAGCACAAATTACATAACATCTGTGTCACATTGATGTAATATTACATAGTAATTAAAGCTATTGGACCTATTTTATCCAAACTCAAACTCAAAGCACTGTACCGGGAACACCTACTCTCACTTCAAAAATCTGTGTAGTGTGTTTTTATTATTTTACGTAGTCTGTGTAGAATCGAATTTTGTTGTTGCTTTAATCTATTCATATTATGTATATAATTATAGTATATACTAAATATATTATACAACATTAAAAACCTCTTTACAATCACAATTTATAGGAGTAAATTGTGATTGTAAGCTGTAATTATATTCACACTCGCTCATGCATTTACATATCAAATAGGTTATTTTACATGCTAGTCAATTTGATATGTAAGTGTAAATTGTTGTACACTTAACTATGTATATTATTATCTCAATATATAACTTTACGCTTGGTCGTTATATTTTTGCTTTTAAATAACTTAATCCCTCTCGTTGTACCTGACTGAAAACCAGCGCCTCATATGCTAAGTTATTTCCTTAGACTATGGAAACTAAAGGACATGTTATGTTGACATATACAAATCAGACGTTATATGTATATGATGCATTTTGATGTTGAAAACATAAACATGTTATTGTCTTTGTTTAACTATTGCGTGCCGTCTTAAACCAAAAGAGATAGCGTTGCATTGGTCTGTGTCAAACACGGGAATGGAAAATACGTAACGTCATCATAAATGCCAACTGTGCCCATTTCGCAGTACATGAGGTACATGATACGGGTGTCAAAGAAAAGTACGTCAACTATCAAAACAAATTTCCAGGTGTTTTATTGAATTATTCGCATGTATTATAATAAAATGGACAAAAATATTGACAGTGAGAACAATTAAGTATTAATGAAAATTCGTCGCTGCAGCATTACGGAATGTGGCATTAGAAAAAACGAAAATCGACCGAATGTAACATTGTACAGCCACGTGTTATTTTTCTGTCTATAAATCACACAAAAGCCCAAATATCTCATGTAATTAGACGTATTTAAATAGTTTATTCATAAATCTAGCCAAATTTTGCTTTGGTTTCTTCCGATTGCCTGTTTATTTGTATATTTTAATTATTGTTGTTAACGATTATTTTGAGGTGGTGTTGTTCTTGAAAGCGTACGTATTATCAATATTCTGTTATTAAAATAATTCACTATGAGAATTTTATTATTTAATTATTATTATTTTTACTATTTCAAGTTTACTTACAAATCAAAAAGAAAAAGAATGGTTGGAAATCATAGAAGTGCCGAATATAAACATTGAATCAAAGACCACCTTCATTTTTTAGCTTCATTTTGAAGAGTCAAATTTTAACATAACTTTGAATATAACTAGACACTGACAACTTTTACTATTAAAATTTCTTATTTTATACAGCCAGCAATGACCACGTTGGTCCAACGTTGACGGGTGATGGCCAATACCAGCGTATAGACAGCCTATTTGTCTTGCCGTCGCTCGGTGTCTCTCGCGTAGCTGACTGAGTGAAGGCGAGCGCTAACGTGTCTAGAGCTCGTTTGACGTGTATTGTCACAACTCGCAGTCGCTCGTGACTACTTGTCTCACTTCGGAGAAGTGTCGATTTTTCTGCACAATTCAAAGGCTCCGCTCGGCCAATAGTAGTCAATTGACATTATATAATCAGACATTTGCATGCTATTTAATATATGCGAAACATGTTTATACTAACACTGTCTCTTGTTACATCTCCTGTTATACCATATTTGAAACAAATAAACGTATGATAATAATATTATTGATAATATTACTACTTTCATTTATTTCCAAAATTAAATGGAAGTATTAAAGATTTACTTCAATTTTCAATTTTTATTAATTCTATACCAATACATAAATACAAAAAAGCTTACACTATTTGGAAACTGTTTAAAAATTTCTCTATGAAAATATGAATTTTGAGGTTGGAAATGTATAGGAGATCCCCAGATTTATATTTCAAAGTTTATCTTTTTTTATATGCTCTCAAATTACATTTTTTCTGTGCAAATTAACTTTTCGTAATATTTGAGTATTTGTAAACGCAAAACAATAATTTCAAAATTTCATGTGACATTCCCGGATATTCCCATATAATCTAAAATATTTCCAAATGGAATATTGATCTACTTTAATTAAATGTTTGCATGTCGATAATGACTTATCGATAGATTATGGTACGACACTAAACAAATCCGCCATTTGTTCGTTCAATTTTTGTTTAGATATGCATGTTCATTCCGTAGTTAGGGCAGGCACTGATATGACAATCATGTTATTTTTTTTCTTTTATGCTTAATCTGTATTTGTATTATATAAGTGAATAAAATGTTTATCTATCTATCTATTTTTTTCAGATCAGACGTAATTGGTTGTTGATTCTAACATCTCAGTTAGCTGGGACAATGGGGCCCCTAAAGAGCCCGGAACATTGATTTGTACACATGGGACTTGTCAACTTATGTCTCAGGGTGACGGGCGCAGTGGCAGTACCTCTCAGATCTTTAAAAGAAAGAAAGGAAGCTGTTTATTACACAAGCACAGACACGCATATAAACAAAACAACAGGGGAACAATAATAGTAATAACAATTAATCTTTCAGGCCCTCGGAGAAGCGAGAGTCTAAAATAAATAACATAATAATAATAAAATAAAAAAAAATTAAAACCATTTCTAATGCAGTATACCTAATTCACCGTCATGCGTGTCGCGCTTGGTGCAATCGCAATCGGGACTTGCTCAGTTTCAGCCATAAAAAGGCTTTTTTTAACAGTTTCGTGGCGCAAGCCCGAGATTGCGATTTAAAGCTCTGAGTGGCACAGAAACTGTTACGGACAGGCGTGTCGCTTACCATCAGGCGCGCGACTTGTTCGTCCCGTGACTTAGTATTATTAAAAAAATGGCCTAGGACCTAGACCGCACAAGACTGCAAATCCGCCACTGGCCATATCGGTTGCTCTAGCGGTGGAACTTGCATTATTCATGTTTGTGTGAACGTGCGAGGAAATCACAGTGTTCACAGTTATTTATTGGCATAGTGAACAGGCTCCCCATTTTCCATGGGTCGACGGCGCAGGCTTATTGCGCCGTTGCAATTAGTGTCATTGAGCTCAAGGACAGCCGTTGCTATTTATTATTGTCATTTCATTCGCATAATACAACATTTACTGAGTAATGATCTGTGTATAGTCAGATATAATGCCTAAACTTTATTATCTTATAGTATAGGTAAATATAGGTTACCTATCAGTTATCCGAAATAACATTTTCCAGAAATAACGTTTGGTCGAAATTTCATAACCTCGAAAGTAATTTTGAGAGGAAAATGTTTTTTCTTTTAAACCTAACTTAATCTAACCAAACCGAACCTAATCGTGTCTTTGCGATAAACATCCAACATATCCTGAAAGAACGACTGTTTCGTTATAATTCAGTTTTCGGTGTAATAAAAATTCGAAGAATAACGTTATTTCAGACAAAAAAAATTTTCGAGTTTGTGATAGGTTACCGTAAATATAATCTCCATATTCCAATACGAGTAGTTGTACCCCTATATGATTAGTATAGTAATAAAAGCTCCGAAAAATAAATTCAAAATTAGCTTATTCAAAATATGAATATTACTGCTTTATTTAATAAGTTATCGAAAGCTTTTGAGCGAATGAAAATACGGAAACAACCGAATGAATATTGAAATATCCGAAAAATCTTGTGCACGTAATACAACTCTACTAACTTAAGTAATGAAAATTATTGTCAGCCATTTTTATTGTAAATCACCTATTATAAATTTAAAAGCCACTATGGTGGACTGAATAAGTTCAGTTCCAAAATTGTTGTGTTTGTTATACGGAACTATTCCATTATACGGAAATATTATTACTCGAGTGACGATAAAGGACATACATCAGTAAGTTAATTTTTCCTTCGGAAGTTTAGTGTTACTACTATTTGGGAGTACTGTTTGTTTTCGTAGAATTACAATTTGAACAAGTTCAATCAAGACCTTTTTTAAATATTTGTTTTTCATTTGCTCAATTGCTGATTAATTTTCTCGGTAAAATTATTCTGTTAATGTTTTTCAAGAATTCATTTTAACATAGCTTAGTTAGTATTACATATAGTTGGCCACAATTCGCTGTAATTTCATTTGTTTTTCGGAACTTTTATTATTTCCCAATTAGTATTATTTGCGGTATGCGTCACTCACCATTTGTAGAATCTAGCAGTTACAAATTCCCACAATTTACTAACACGTTGCATAAACGTGAACGGTGGCACATCGCCTGAAGCCAAAAGCGCGTTTGTCGAGTAAGCCGGGTTAGGTGCTTCGTCGATTAACGAAAGCACCATTTGGTGAGGCTCTACGGAAGACGACCATATCAATGGACATCCGTATACACCTGCAAAACTGCAATTAAACACAAAGAATCGATATTCAAACTTTCAACTCGAATACATGGATAGAAATTGTAAGTTTATTTCATATTTGACATCGTTGTATTCTGACAATTTTTCTGTTTATTTATGTTTTTTGAGTTATACTAATTTGTTTTATATTAATTATATTATTGTTTATGTTTGAGACGGCCATATTAACCCATGACGTTGTATTTTAAATTGTAATAATGTGACATTGTTAATATGAAATGAGTGATTCTATTCTTATAGAATTGAAAAGAGTGCGTTTCACAGAAGTGCTATTACACTTGCATAATGTATTCAGGCCCTATAATTGGCTGCGCAACACTGCATTAAAACGAGCAATGTAACACAAACCTTTTCTTCTACAAGGTAGGACATATTGCTTTCAACAAAAAATTAAAAAGAATGCAGCAAGCAACGTCGAGCTGCGGAGGGCGCACTTTTCAAAATACACTATATTATAGAACACAATATCTACAACCTGTCGTCGGCAGCTTCTATCGCCACGGGCAAAGTGTTATTTAACTTGTCACCAACAAGGTATGTTTCTTTGAAAGATAGACAGCTTACAACTTAGGACTTTGGAGAAAATAATGCAATGTGGAACTTTCTACTAAATAAAATTAGTATTCTTAGAATCCAAAGAAAATAGGAAATGAAACTATTTTTCCGGATTTAAATCGCGTATATTTGTTTTTTCAAACAAACCGACGTTTCGGGCCCTTTACAGGTCCCATGGTCACGGTTGACTCGATGATGATCGGTTGACCATGGGACCTGTAAAGGGCCCGAAACGTCGGTTTGTTTGAAAAAACAAATATACGCGATTTAAATCCGGAAAAATAGTTTCATTTCCTATGTGTAACAATCGCGAAAACCTAAGAACTCGATATCCAAAGAAAATGTCACTCGCGCGCGTCTCCACGCGGCGCATCCCGTCGTCAGCAGCTTATGCCGCCATGAGCAATAGAAATCGTGACTAAGGGTCGTATTCCAGAACTGTACTCAATGCAAGTCAGGATTTGAGCAGACTTGAGTATGATTTCAAGCACTGGAAATACGACCCTAATGGCAAGGACTTGAGTATGATATTCAGTGCTCACTGCAATACTCAAGTCCTGATTTGAGTATTGAGTTCTGGAATACGACACTTAGCTTCTCAAGAGTAAAGTATATTTCTAGAAAAGGCAGACAGCCGCTGAGCGAGGTCGCGGGTATAGGTTTGCTACCAATTTTTATTACTTACCCCGAGTATATTTCATTGAACATCCATTCGGCAATAACTACATCGAATTCTTCCTTAGGATCATTTAATAACTTCTGAATATTCTTGTTTATAAGAGTAGATTTGGATACAGTGTACATAAGCTTGAACAACGTATGGATGTCTTTTAAGTCAACTTCTTTACGTAATAGCTTTTCAATATCAAAATAATCACCTAAAAATATAAAAATTCCAATAAAAAGAAAATTCGTAAACATTTGGCCCGTAACAATTGCAACTTGCCAGTTTACTCGTCATAACAACTTTAGCTAAAACCATTCTTATTCACACTCATCCTCCGGCTAGATGGAATGATAATCTACGAAAAACAAAATGGCGCACATTTAAGGAGGCCTACGAGCAGCAGTGGACTGGAATAGGCTAATGATGAAAATCATTCCACTTCATATTAAAATACATACAAAATGTGCGCCGTCGGACATTGGTATGGGGAACCAAATGTTTAATCACAAACGATTATCACAACAATGAACATGGTTTAAGCTTTTTTCCTAAAACCCAGTATAAAACAAAACATTTTACACACCTTGAGCAAAAACTTGGAAGTTATCCGTTACGTTTATTTGGCGGAGATTTGCCGGTGGATTTTGCATAAATATTGGAGTAACGTATGTCACCTTGAACATAATAACACATAAAATAATTTCAAGTCTAAAGTCAAAGCAATGAAGGTATTAATTAATCATTCAGAAGTAGAACAAGGGAGACGGGAGGTAAATAGTAAATACCCTATTTTGAAGTTTCCGACTAAGTCTGGAACTGATGGCAAGAAAATCTTTGCGTGTGTAGACTGTGAGATCGCTGGCGTAACTAGGACGAGCCCGGATAAATACAGTCCCCTTGTTCCTCCCCCCGAAAATTAATAATGGGTTCAGCGCAATTACATGACGTAACAAAACACCTCTGGTGCATAATAATTGTGCTAAGAGCTAGTGTGCTGTATCCATTTACTTCTCGTATTCGCATACGTTTCTCGTATCTGCACCAGACGGCAATGTTTTTGCAAGTAGATGGGAGCTGTGCGTGATAAATATTTGAAGTTTTGTGAAAGGATGGATGTGCGACTGATCGATGATAGTGTGCAACAGTAATTATCGAGGTTAAAGGTAATTTGTGCATTTTTCAAGACACTTTGGAAAGATAGCCGTTACGAATTTGTTTTTAAAAAATTGTATGCTGTTTCGTAAGTACTTCCATAATTATTAAGATAAACAGGTAGTTAAACTTATATAACTCAAGAGTGGTTATTTTATCTAGTATATAGTCTTTGTAAGGATAAATTGTAAGTAACTTAACCTCACTATTTAGTAATCGCTCAATCAGCTGTCTTTCTTGCTTACGTTCTTTTCAAATTGTTTTCTTTTTTCGTTTTCAAAAGCATAAACAATGTTTACTCGCAAAGCTGCTGCGGAACGTCAATTGGAGGATAAACTTCAACACGCTTTATTAGAATTCAAAACAGCAAAGGCCATTGAATGAGCAGTTACTAAAAGAAGCTAAGATTTAATGACAAAATTGTAAACACAATCGCAGAAGCTGCTAAAATATTTGAATTTTTTTTTACTGACATTCCATATTTGACTACTAAGTCGTTAAATTCATCTCCCACCACCGCTGAATCCTCAATTTAAGATTCTGTCATGTATTTCCAAACGACATTGTTAAAGCCTTTAAGTCTATAAACATAAAAAATACTGCTGATCTTGATGGTCTTTCAGTCAGAGTAATTAGTTCTATAGTTGATTGCCTTGCGCCTTACTTAGCACGTGTCTTTCTGTCTACCACACGGTATATTTACAATGTCGGGGCTTGCTACAAAGTAACCGTTTTTAGAATTGTTAAAAATTGCAATAATAATTGAGACTACATTCTTTACGAAATATATTAAAATGTACGCATATAACTTTGGATAAGTTTAGGAGGTGGGTACAGATACAGAGTTCCTGGCCTGGCCGCATTCCATAGAAATCCCAGTTACGTGGTTCACAACTTTAAAAGAGAGGTTACGGGGTAAGTAGGTATTAATAATAATATAATAGTACTTATATAGTCCGACTGCTAGGCACAGACCTCCTCTCACAATGAATGGGAGGGCTGTAGTTCCCACACGGGCTCAATGCGCTTTAGGAAATTCATACACATTGTTAAAATGATTGCAGATGTGTGCAGGTTTCTACACGTGTATTACTTAACCGAAAAATGGTAAATTTAATTTCGCACGTATATTCCGCCGAAAAACACAGAGGTACAAGACAGGATTCGAACACACGACCGTCTGCTTAGGTAGGTCAAATCACGGCTTAACTTAAGTAGGAACTAGAGCTAGGTTAACAAGTAAGTAAATAAAATGTTTGTTTAATTATAGTACCGGCACGCTATGACGGCTGTTTTGACGTTTGTCCGCTCATCAAGTTTCGTATTAATTCATAACTACGTTGAAGGAGCTAATTAATGTACATTGTTGTCAATTAATATATAATTTTACGACATAACTCGGCATTTTCGAAATTTTCATAAATAAAATCTCATACGATCATCACTTATAGGCTGTATCGTTGTCCAGCACAACTTCTACCTCCGGCAAATTCGCTGAAGCGGTACCAAAGGTTGACAATCCCTGCATCCTAGTAATTCGACGATATTTGATAAGTGTTTCTTTAAAATAAATCACAGGAAACAAACCGTGAGACCAAAGGCATGAAGGAATGAAACTTTCTGGAACAAACGCTGTGAGGGGTGAAGGGGGTAGGAGCTATGGTAATGAGATGACTGAAGAAATGACGACAGTTGCCCAGGGCGCGGTTCGGTGACCACCTAAAGAAATTCGTGAAGTACTAGAGCTCAGGTCGCAGTCGGTAAATTCGTGATATGGTTAAATTGTGTGTGTTAGATAAAATCAAGTGTCGTAGTTGCGGATTAATCTAGGGTTTAAGTTGTTAGATGACCTAGGATTATGTCGCGTGTCGGTTAAAGAAAGTGTAATTTCGGATGATTAAATTAGTATTCGTGGTTCGTGTGTGATGTGTAGTAGAGAATCTAGTATCGTAGTTACGGAGTGCTTGGATTTAGGAGATAGTTTAAGCTTGTGTCGCGGTTGTGTATTGGCTTAGGATACATTGCGCGTCGGTATAAGATAGTGTTTACGTTCGTAGTGATAGTTAGTTCGTGATCGCGAGTGCGGGTACTTCGTTGTTACTAATTTCATAGTTGCGGAATTATCTTAGTTTAGTATACAGAAAACGTCGAGTGTTGATTTAGATAGTGCTTACATTTGTAGTGATAGTTAGGTTTGTGATTGTATGTGCGCGAGTGATACAGTGTTGACTCTAATTCGAATCTGGAGCTGATATGGGCCTTCAGTTCCTTATCTATGTTCCGGGCAGATTTCCCTTGTAGCTGCCAAATGCCAAAAAAAGATGCATGTAATAGATGAGAGAGTCACCTCAAAGGTATGTGAGCTTTCGTTTACTGTGGTAGGAACACCTACGTATTTTGGGTATTGATGAGATAAATTTATGTTTTGTAACGGTTTTACTATGCGTTTTGCATCCTTTTTGATACAATTTAAAAACAATTTGACGTGAAAATTCATTTAACTGACGGAATGTCTTTTGTTGGTTAAATGGAATAAACTACTGAAAACTGTTAAACTACCAAACTTTAACTTTGATTTTATTTATTACATTTTAATTAGAATGTTATTAATAACTTGATATGGAATCTTTCCATGCGAATCAAAGATAATTGAATACTTGTAGGTTAGGCTTTATCAATTAGACTCGGAAGATAGAGATTTTATTTAATTTAGGTTTTGTTGAATTAATTACGTTAGGATAATGTTAACATTAAATTCAACTGAATTAGATATTTTAGGTTGATACTTTGGTATACATATCATAAAATTATGAGACCGCGTTTGTCAGTCAAAAGCCTTCGTGGACGACTATACTTTGTTGTCACCGACGATGTTAGATTCACCTGTGTTGCTTCCATCGCTCCTGTCAGACTTATGCCTTGATATCATTGAATATCCGATTAGAGTTTTCCTTGACCTGGCCGCTATTTATTAGAAGTACCCTCTACAGTACACGGTGACAGTGTTCATGTTCTTGTATGGGAGGTTTCACCGTTTCCAAGAAGATCTAGGACCTCGAGTGTATAAGTTGTCACTGACATAATTAGCCCCGTGGCCGGAATAGTTTTTGTTTAACTTAGGCTACTTAGGCTTTCTGTTGGGTAATATAAAATTGGCTCTCAGTGCTTGATGAACACTAACACAACTTAGATAAGTTTCCTACCAAGGCTTAACGTATAGAAAATAGTATTTAAATTGCTAAATATCGCCTATGTGACTATAATTTCAATAATTGATACAGTTCCTTCTTGCGTGTGTTATTCAAGGTGTAATAGGAGTTCTGATTTAGGTGAATTAGGCAGGGTATGAGGTGGGCCTATTCTTCTTCCCTTATCCTCTGTCATCCTACTTCTCTAGTTATATAAATCTTATGTAACTAGTCTACATTAATGGGATATTACTTCTTATCTCGTATCAATTACCTATCTATGTATATCACACCTTTTAGATATGCTGTTATCTACTTAATACATGCACATGGTTTTGATCTATGTCGTACTCATCTACGATGATACGATATGAGCAGTGTCACGCTCACTCCATCTGCTGTTCCTGGTTTGTGGACTATGTTGTACTCATCTACGATGATGCAATATGAGTAGCAACATGCGCACTCTGTCTGCTATTCCTGAATTTCGGATTATACTGTACTCACATACGTTGATGCAATATGAGTAGCGACACGCTTTCTCTGTCTGCTATTCCTGGTCTGCTGACTATATTGTCTTCATCTGCGATGACACAATTTCATTAGCAACATGCTCTCTTTATCTGCTATTCTCGAGCCGGCTTACACCTTCCATTGGCTATATACTAATACTGGTCTGTCCTGTGTGAAATGTAGCTGGTATCTATTGAAGACATCAATTCGTAAAATCTCAATTATACCTTGGAATGTTATATTATTAAATAATATACACGCGACACTTGTTGATGGTCTTTAAGCTTCGTCACAGTGACAGCGGATCATTTATACTTGAGGTATCCGTATAACGATTACCTATTGTATACTATTAAATAGCGTAGGTGTATATATCAGTATACCTTCCTACGCCCCGGAGTACGTAACAGGGGTGTCGTTCACGACACGAGAGCGGAGGTGGTCTGTTGTGGAACAACACCTACACAATCAGTCTGTTGTGGGGGCTCGTATATCTCATAATCATTTTTTAATGAGGTGGGCATCCTTTCCCTTATTCCTTGCTCTTTATTCTTTTAAAATCTATCTTATACTTCTCTAGAAATCTATATCGCAGATCACTATATTTATTTATTTATCTCACGTACCTCTTAAAGAATCACAGGTTACATACTTATTCATATAAAACACAACGTAATATTAAGTCCTAACCAAACTAGACGTTCACATAATTGAATTTGATTATGGATGATTTTATAGATTCCAAAGTACGGTACATCGCGTCAAAGCTGAATGCAAAACAAAGCAGTTTCGAATTGACGATATATTAAGTAAACATTTTTACTTTCGTTTTATTAAAACTTTTTACTCAACTACTACTACTAATTGAGATTTGATCTCACTATTATAATCTGTCAAAACAGCCATAATAGCGTGCCGGTATTGCAAGTTTTGAGACCTAAATACAGAACCTGAAGTCCTGTTATTTTACATTTACTTGTTACAATCAAATTGTCACATTTAGTCAATTTAGTTTTCATTAAACCTGCATTATTAATGTGGGTATCATGAAACAAATTCTTGGTATCTATACCTAAAACTTAAATTCACTTTGCAATCTTGACATTCGATGGGCAAAGAAAATTTGCAAATGTTGAAGACAATCTAATTTTTCGCTTCATGAACTAATAAACTTGCCTAATTTCTATTTCAATTAAATCCTACCTGACTGATAATCTTATCAGTCCGTTAAATTTTCATGTGCCGCCGCAATAATATTACTTAATTATTTTATTAGTTTTAACGTTGATTACAACAAAACCAAAATTTGACACTATATCGTTTCAGGTAAATCAAATTTGACGATTCGCAACCAATTTGCCAATGTTCGCTTTCCGAAATAGTAAAAATTATTTTTGCTCGTTATTAAATAACGTGTGTGAAATTTAATTTTAAATTCACCATGATGTTTTCGGTGAATGAAACCATCGCGGGGAAACCGCCCCACAGGGCCCGCGTGGTACCGACAGCCAAAACCCTCTCATTGCGGATGGAGACCTGTGCCCCACAGCGGGACTGTGCATATTAAGTAACACTTTTTTAAGTGGCTTAAAAATAGTGTAATTTTATTTTGGTCCGAATTAGTATAAATTATTATTAAAGATCGTGTGCTTCAAAAACTTACTTCTACTCAAGTTTATCATATTTACTCCGTAAATCCATACATAGTTTTGGCAGATTTAAAAAAACTGTGATAATTTAACACGTATTACATTGATGCAAAAAAGGTTCGCAATAGTGATGTCATGGATCTTTCCGTATTCCAAAGGTGTCTTATTTTGGTTACAGCCTCAGCAAATAGATACATTTGTGTTCCGGAACACAACATTATTCGCTTTAGGAAAACACAAAAAAGTCAATTTGAAAAACGCTCAGCAAAAAAATGAAAATAGCAAATGAAACTATTTTTAAGATCTAAATCGAGTATTTGTTTTCTTTTTCTCAAATAAACCAACCTTTATAGGTCCCATGGCCAAGGCTGCGATTTAAATACGAAAAATAGTTTTATTTCGTAAATGTAACAATCGCGAAAACCTACGAGCGCGATAAGAAAAAAAAAGTTTTTACAAACCTCGTGTCCAGCTTTTAAAAGAAGATTAACGTAACCCTGACCCAATATTGAATGACTCGCACCAGGTATTGGAAACACCACTAAAATCTTATAAGCATTGCTCAAGCTTACAATGAACGCCATTAATACTATTTTTAAATAAACCATTTTGTAAGATAATTTTCAGCGCTTCAGTCTGTGTGGCGTTGCGATCACGAATGACTGTGGCGTCGACACAATTTATACAACATGGACACGCATGACCTCAACTTGCGTATGTAAAAAGAGAGACGGAACATAAGACGCCTTTGGTATTTTAGGTGCCGACAAATTTTATCAGCCACTTAATCATATTATTATGATATGTATAGTTAATTACGTTCACGCACTTTTGAGGAATGTTTCTTAGTAGATAAGTATTAAAAGTGAGTACGTATTGTTGTTAATGTTTATGAAACTCGTAAAATTTGCGTTTATTCTACAGATACATTGACTTACAAATAAATGGACGACGGGTCTAATACAAAAACCACGAAAAAAATGTCCCAAGTCAACCTATTCGAAATTTAAATTGTTATGTCATCGCAGTATCGCGCTGTCAGTAGAACAAATGAAGACTAAAGCGGAGTGTCGCGCTCTGTATACGATTTTAGCGCCTTACAAGTGAGGACACTTTTTAGCGCGGACCCGACTTCCATATAATTGTAAGTCAGTGTACAGATACACCAATTTTTGTAACGTTTATTTTAAAGAATTACATAATACTCGATTATAATTTTAATTCGTAAACGAATTACGTCGTAGCCGGCAACGGCCGGCGTATATAAATACACAGCCGAAACTGCTGAAGCTAAAAATAAGAAATTATGACTGTAGGCTCTTTTTATTATGGAAGCTCAGAATAAGAAGGAATTTGTCCACATTCGTCCCCTAAGGGAGTAAAAGGGCCTAAAGAAATTCTAAACCACTGAAATAAGAGTATTGAAAGAATGTTTTTTAGGATCGCTGTAAAAGGCGTATTAAAATGTGTCACATTTTTTTAATTACCCTTCATCAATAACTTATTTTATACGTCCCACTGCCGGACACGGGTCTCTTCTCAGGCGAGGGTTTACGCCACGCTGCTGGCCCGATGAAGGTTGGGAACTTCACGTTTTCCGTATTAAGAGCCTTCTTCGATTCTTCGAAATTCTGTACTGAAAATAATTACATGTAGTTCGTTGTTAATTTTAAACAAAATTAACTTTAAAAGTGTTAAAATGAATGATGAAAGATCAGTGGTCAAGTGTGGTGGGTATCGTATGAAAATTCACATTCCAAAAATATATAATGTAGAAGACTTGGGTTTATTTTTCGCTAAGTTATTAACGTTACAGGTTTGTCACTACGGAAAGGCCTTCTTATCATCTCTATATTTCGCAATGGTTATGATATGCTGGGTTGACACAGGTCAGTCAACCGGTGATTGTGGAGTGCGTAAACGTTCCATAATATCGGGATAGCAAGAAGCCGTTCCCAAGCAGCACATCTATATCTATACCTAAATGTTTACTATAAGATATCTAATAGAATTTAATTCGATTGTACATTTTAACAGTTTAAATTTCCTCAAGATCTTGAAGAAGGTTTCTATAATTTAAAGTAAAAGTGGGCACAACTTTATTAGTAGATCACAAGAGAGCTTTGAGAAATTATCTGAAGGCAGCGTTAAGAGTGATTCTTATCTTTTTTCTCAAGTAACCCTTCTAGAATGCTACAAGACCATTTGTAGAACAGGATTTATGTCCACTTCCAGTAAACTTAAGTACGTCTCAAACCAAAGCTTGCAAGTCAAAAGTCACTCTTAGTAACATTGTGTTAAGAGTGTCTTATGAATTTAAACATTGGTTTAAGAGGCACTTAAGTTTTGTGCAAGTGGATAAGTGTCTTGTAGGCAGCTTTTAGATAATTTATAGTCTATGATAGTTTTCTTAGTAATGTTATTTTAAAACCAAAGTAACTAAAGCGTTTCAAACGTAAGAAGCAATTCTCTCAATACTAATAGATTTCAAGTTTAATGACGTACAAAATATAAACCAGTCACACAAGGTCAAAAAAACAATTGAAAAATCCAATTAGTCGCAAAAAAAAACACTATTCTGTATATGGCATGTGTTATATATGACTAGAAAGTTGGATAAATTCCCTATGAGATAAGGTATTCAATGACATACCTAACTTGTGTTGGAAGAAATAAAATTTTCATTACAAAATTGAGGTTATTTCTTCACGCCAACCACATTTCACACAATGATTTGGCAGTATTCTATTGATAGACGGCACAATACACGTACACAACATTGAAGTACAGTAGTTTACACGCTCATTTCAATTGTTTTTATCACTTCAGAACACGGAATTACTTCACAATGTTTATTTATTTGTCAACAAACAAAAATGCAGCACGCCCGGCCCATTTACGCACACCCGGCAATTACCGACATCGAATGATGTGACATAATATCCAAGGTTAACCATCTTCACCACATCTTTTAATATTTTTTACTTTATCCATTGTCCAATAGAGTAAAAACCCTAATATAATAATATTTTTTCAATAAAATCTACTGAAGACGCGCTATAACGTGTTTGTCAATAAGCATAAACACTACAGAATGTCTATATATGAAATATATCTAGAATAAACTTAAGAACACTAGTTTTTACAGTATTAATAGACTTTATTGGATGTGTATAGAACAATTTTATTAAAAATAATCAGTTGATCTACAGATGAACTTAAAATAAGGACTATAAGAATAAATCTTAAGAGGGATCACACTTAATTAAGTTGTTTGGTACTAATGTATTACTTGGAGCGATTTGCTGTATCTAAGGTTAATAGAAAATCCATTTAATGATTTGCTTTCCTGTATTTATTATATGGATTGGTTGCAGTTTTGTTGTGCCCGTAGAAGAGAAAACATATCAAGTATTCTTTGGCCCAGCGGTGGCTATAAGAGGAAGATCTTTACCCCCTTATCATGATGTAAGGTTCAACGCGTCCTTGATGTTGGGCAATTCACATGTTTCGCTGGGACAACCTACAAGATTGCCCCAAAACTACAAGCCAATAGCAGGATATCATATCGACCCCAATGTTAAACCTCTTCCGGAGGTAAGACCTGATCTCCTTTTTTGTAAGGCCTTTTGCACATTTCGCCTTCAAAACGGGTTCTCTTCTCATCGTCGCCACGAGTTTAAGAACTCCCAAGTGAATATGATATCAATTGTTTGAACTTTTAGTACTTGATTTGAAAGAGAGTACGTACAGCAATTAAATGTATGGTAATACAAATTAAAAATCAATGATAAATTTAAATAAAAAGCAAATTGTTGCAACGGCGTTTTGATAAAACATTAATTGTTTAAATTGTTACAAGAATATTGCAACTGCATCATTGAAAGAGGCAGATAAATAAGGCTGTATAGTTTTTACTAAACATATGACGATAACAATTAAAAATTAGACTTGAAATTTTCAGGATTTGAAAAACATTTTTGATAAAGATGAAAATGGCGTAATATATTTCGGCATGGGCTCTAACTTAAAAAGTAAAGATTTTCCAGAAAAATTAAAGAATGATTTGTTAAAAATGTTTGGAGCACTCAAAATATACTGTCATTTGGAAATTTGAAGAAGTACTTTTGGATTTACCCAGAAATGTTCACATCGTCACATGGGCTCCTCAGCCAAGCATTTTAGGTACAAGTGTAACTATCCGTTATGTTTTCTAAAGCAATTTCTAATGATCTCAACAATTACTGATGATTATGCCATTTTTATTGTTTTGCAGCTCATCCAAAAACGATTCTCTTTATAACTCATGGAGGTCTTCTCTCAACCTCATGGAGGTCTTCTCTCAACCAGCCTATCATCGGTATACCAGCTTTCGCAGATCAATTTAACAACAGAGCCGTAAATGGAAACACCCATGATCATCAGATTGTCGTTTTGTAAATTTAATATAAATGTAACATTGTAGTCAATTTGGTACAGAAGTCTGTATTTATGTTTCTTTCCTTCGTTTAGTTTTTAAGTACTGCCTATGTTGTATCTTGTATGTTACATTGACATTTTACATAATCTATAAGTTTAATTTTGAGTCTTGTAGGACGCTTTGTATTACGCTGTAAGTCCACAAGAATGTATGTAATGAAGAAGTGTATATAAGAATGTATATAAATAAATAACCTGGTCAGTGAATACAGGAAGTCAAATTCTTACGAGTCCGACATAATCTCCACCATTTGTGGAAAAGACATGTTTTTCCTTACACGGTTACTAGGGCGTGCAAAATGCGTGTTATTTTTAAAACTGGTTTTTCCGATTTTAAATTTTCGGTTACCCGGTTCTTTGTTTTTTTTTCGGATATTTTTCTATTGTCATCCAAATAATTCTTTAAAAATGTCAGGAAACTAAAAAAAACATCAAACCGGTATGTCGTAGATTATTTACACCATTTATGGCTTTTTTTTAAACAACTGATATTCAATTATTTTTTTATGTGAAATTACTCCGCTAGTTTGTTATAATTATTAATACCAAGATTATTTATGGAATTCACCAAATTTTAATTTGTTAAGCATTCGTAAAATTCACTGAATCCAGCGACTAAATCGCTAAAACGGCAACACTGCCCAGGACGGAAAAATCAAACCACAAACAAACCACATTTTTTAAAACTTTTTGTTGCTATACTGTTTAGTGTCCAAGCTCCTAGCATTTCGTTAGTTGTTTATTTATCATTATTAATCACCGTACGACATCCGTACGATGATATTATGATTTACGAATTTATATTTTAATAGTTTTAAAACAAAACCGAAAATCCCGAAAAATTAATTGAAAACCGAGTTCTAACATGGACTTTACTCGGTTTTTTCGGTTAACTGAGTAACCGGCTTGCATGCCCTAGCGATTATGCCTAGAAAGAGGTATATTACTTTATGCATATTCTTGCGTTTCAGAACATTATACGTACCTAATACGCTTTGCCCTGAGCCCCTTTTGCAATATGAAAATTTTTCGGCATACTAGCAAAATATTCCTCAAATATCCACATAACTGTCTCTTGGAGTTTCTCAAACATTTTTGCGATGTCGTTATTTGTGGAATCTGCTAGAAGATTACCTTTTTAAACAGAACCCACACTAAAGTATACAACTCAATTCTTGGCTCTCGCTATCCATATTTGTAGGTACATCCTACGGAAACAAATAATTCTTCAATATTTCAATTTAGTGTAATATACAAAAGCTTGTAGTAGACCTTCATTTGCAAAGCAATTACAGAGTTGGTGCCTGCAATTTAACCTTTTTGACAGAATATTTAGAATGACAGGGATATTTAGGACGCAAGGAGCTGATGGTTGCGTTGCTCGGGCAAGCTACTACTCGCTGGAGCACCGCGAATTTGCACATGAGCAACCACTATGTTATAGTATGACAATACGAATCACTTTCGTCACCAGTAAGGGCGCATGCAAATAACGCAGACAGAAAATAATCAGCGCAAAGGCTATAAAGAAAAAAAACACGTGAACACGAGTCTTCAAAATAAATAGATAATATTATGTTTATAACGCACTAAATAACAAAATATTATTAAGGAAATAATTACTTTTTTATGATGACAATAAGCGGGTAACACCGGTCAACATGACCGGCATTACCTTCTCTTCTATATTTCCGAATAAATATTTTTTGACCAAAAACCGTAAGCATTCTTTACAAGAAAAAAAAACACACGTGTCTTCAAAATAAATAGATATATGTCTAGAATGCACGAATACGCACTTGCTAAATTATAATTTAGATTATGTGCGTACACACACTTCCGTGTTAAAGGATTGGTAATTTTCATACTTAAATTACCGGTTTCGGTACCGGTTCAGATCTAATATCAGAACCAGTTTACGTGTAGTAAATTACCAACTTTTTTCATACTTCAAACTTAGGGTTTGAAGTATGAAAATTGTTGGTAATTCATTGCCCGATCGACGCAACCATCAGCTCACACTCACGCAGTGATGACTTGTCTCGAGACACAGCACCTTGTGTCTACCTGTCAAACCTGTCATTCTAAATATTTTGTCAAAAAGGTTAACTGCGGGCACCAATTCTGTAATTGCTTTGCAAATGACAGCTACGAATCCGTAGCGCATGCAGATTATCTGCTTTGGCAGAAATAATAGCTGCCTCAGCCCGCACCCTGCCAGCATTCATTTGCTGCAAGGATACTTCGCATCCTCGCAGCTCCTCAATTCGTAAGAATTCTGCCCGGCTCTGCTCCAACGCTCATCAGCTCGCTGTCATCGAAGTAATAGATGTGATGTAATAAATAATGGAAAAGAATTTTCTTGAATTGAAAGTTACTTTGTTACTGATTTGTTTGTTTGAAGTTATTTAGTTACTTTGCGCTGGAGTTGGTGCTCCTCTGAAAGGGCTTCCGCCGCGGTCGTTGCCGCCGTCGATGTGGCGTAGATTCTCACCCTGCTTTTCGTATCATTCCATACCTGAATAACAATAATAATAAAAGGTAAAACATCAAATTAATACAGATATATTTTTACTTATAATTACAAAAGTTTTTACTAAATACACTGTCGTAGTAAACTGATTGCTAGTTAGGTACACTTAATATACAACAAAATACAATAAATACGGAATTTGAGAGGGAGGTATTATCAACTCTGTTTGTTGCTTCTATGAAATTTAGTTAAACATACTTTATTCCGCTGTCTGGTGTTCACCGTCGACCATTGGTTCGCTTCTCCTTTCCTATTAAACTTTATTTTGTTTAAGTTTCAAGATCTGAATTTCGAATGCCATCTTACACGTCAAAACGAGATTATTTATGTCATAGGGCAATAATTGCATTGTAAGTATCTTTAAAATGAACCGTTGTTTCTTAAGGCGCTCCCTCACCGCGAACATTCGCCTGTAATGTAACATTCAAGATACTCGTACGTTTTTGAGCATTACCTTACAAACTACCTCCTTCACCGACGAGCATTCGCCTGTTATGTAAAATCCAAGATTCGATTAGGCTCCGATTCCACCAGAGCAGTGCGAGATAGATGCGTGCGATTGCCTCCAAGTGCGTCCGATTGCCTTTGAGTGCCCGCGAGTGCCCGCGAGTGCCCGCGAGTGCCCACGAGTGCCCGCGAGAGCCCGCGAGTGCCCACGAATGCCCGCGAGAGTCCGCCAGTGCCCGCGAGAGCCCACGAGTGCCCACGATTGCTTTAGAGAGCGCGCGAGCGCCTTTGAGAGCCCGCGAGAGCTTTGAGTACCCGCGAGTGCTTGAGTACCCGCGAGTTCCTTGGAGTACCTTTGTATGTCTTTGAGTGTCAGCGAGTGCCTTTGAGTGCTTGCGAGTGCCTTCAATTGCTTTGTGTGCTCGCAAATGTCTTTGAGTGCCTCTTAGTGCCTTTGAGATTCCGCGAGTGCGTTTGAGTGCCTTTAAGTCCCTTTGAGTGCGTTTGAGTGTCTTGAGTGCGTTTGAGTGTCTTGAGTGCGTTTGAGTGTCTTGAGTGCTTCTGAGTGCGTTTGAGTGCCTTTGGTCGCCAGCGAGCGTCTTTGAGTGTCTATCAGTGTATTTTAGTGTTTGTGAGTGCCTGCGAGTGATATTTAAAAAAAATCTAAATTTCTCAATATTTAAAATTTAAAGCAATAAATACAAAATATACATTTTGTCAATTATTAATAAGATTGAAATGCGTTTTCGTAAAAAGAAATGTAAATGTTGTCAAATGAGTTTACATTTCCGGAAGTGCTCGATAAAAAACCTCTTTGACATTTTCTAAAGTATATGAGTGCCTGTTTTTGAAAGGAGTTTCTTCATTAAAAAAACTTTATAATTTTTTTAACGAACGAAACTCCTCACTTTATTCAATTTAGTGGAAGAAATAGCCGTACATTACCATCATAATAATATCTTTAGTAACGTACGTTCGTAATAAATAAATTTAAGCAGAACATCAGTTTGTGTTGTCCTTCTCGAATCGCATTGTTTCTTAACTTTTCCCAGTGTTAAGAAAACCCATGTTATTGAAACCAGAAAATGCTATCTTATTAGTAAATGCCATAGCGTACCTACATGATTTTTTACCAAGAAATAATAAATGTAAGAAGAAGAAGAAGAATTAGAAGAATAAGAAGAATTTCTACACACCTCCGGGATCTTTCGTCAGAGAAAATTTAGAATTTATTACACCAAGAAGTTGAGGACTGATCCAGAAATGAATATTGGTCTTTGATTTTGAAGCATAAACGACGAGAAATACCACAAACGCCTCCTCACGATATACATGAAGAGATTGCTAATTATTGTTCGCAAGAGAGAGCAGTACGGTGGCAAGATATGCTTAATTTGTTGATAAGTAACCTTCGTTTTGTGGCCTAATTTTTATTTTGATGACTATTAAATGTATGACCGCAATTTAATCATATTATCACAACATTAGTGTAGTATAAAATACAGAGATTAAATTGTCTAGATTTAAGGAAAAAATGGTGAAGTTCGAGGCGAACTCGTATATGAGGGGTACCGTACAAAATACACACATCAAAAAAAGTTTGCGATCAATAGCATAAGCTCCTATAATTCTTTAAATTTAACTTTATCAAGAAAAAATCTATGTTATATGCTTTCTTTAAATAGGAATACCCTGTTTGAAATTAAAATATAAAACTATTTTTTATTATTTATTTTAAAAAATTGAGCCATTAATCATAATGTAATA